AGAGTGAATGAGTGAGTGAGTGTGAGTGAGTGAGCGAGTGAGTGAGCGTGTGAGCGAGCGAGTGAGAGTGAGTGTGAGTGAGCGAGTGAGTGAGTGAGAGAGTGAGTGTGAGTGAGTGAGTGAGCGAGTGTGAGTGAGCGAGTGAGTGAGCGAGCGAGTGTGAGTGAGAGTGAGAGAGTGAGTGTGAGCGAGGGTCATAACAGAGGAACTGTTCCCGAGTGGCGCCGGACACCGGTGTGACCCCGTGTGCAACGACAGCCTGCTCATCTGCCCTGATTCCAGCGCCCGGCCCCGCGTCCGCCCGGCCGAGTCCTCCGAGCACAGCGGCAAATGGTCGTGTCAGGTGTGCACTTACCTGAACTGGCCCAGAGCGATCCGCTGCACCCAGTGCCGCAGTGTCCGGCAGCGCATCTGCAGCCCCACAGAAACCCCACAGACGTCCGGGACCGGCCCTCCAGCGGATCCGTGTGAGGAATACAACGACCGGAACCGACTCCACACACGAGCGCAGTGCTGGACCTGCTCGGTCTGCTCGTACGAGAACTGGCCCAAATCCTCTCGCTGCGTGGTGTGTGACCACCCCAGACCCAACGACGCCTTCCAGCCGCGCGAGTCTGACGAGCCCTCGTCCGTGATTAACGAGCGGGACCGTGGCCGAGCGCGGGGCGTGTGCAGCGGGGCGCAGCGACTCTCGCCTGCCTCCTCTAAACGTGAGGCGGAGCTGCAGATCGAGCTGGCCGCTGGAGCTCAGAGCGGGAACGAGGAGATCGAGGTGGACTTCAAGAAGCTCAAACAGATCAAGAACCGCATGAGGAAGACAGACTGGCTGTTTCTCAACGCCTGCGCTGGTGAGTGCCTCTTTACTCGCTCTCGTAGGCCTTAACTGACTTAAGGTGTCTTTATACACTTACGGCTGCTCTGTGCCAGCTCGAAATTCAGTGTTAATACATAATGTACCTAGGGGTGTGCGATATTGACAAAAAATAATATCTCGATATTCTATAATCAGCTGTCCACGGTACCAGCACAATAACACACTCAGCAGAATATCATCTAATTATCGTTATTGATAAAATCCCAGAAAATATTGAGATATTATGTTTTGTCAGTATCGCACACCCCTACATCAGAAGCGCTTCTGTGCCAACTTTGAAAGGGGTCATGACCTTAAACTTTTGGCAAAGAGGTCTTTGTACCATTAAAACATTCTGCAAGTTTAGCTAATAGCTTAAAACGTCCTCCTCATTATAAACAAAGCATTTATTTAATCAAGCGCCAAAAAATGGCTGGTTTTGGATCCGAGGGGCAAGATATGTACTAGATCTGACTTCAGCTGCATCACAAACCACAAGTAAATTATTTCATAATGCTTTGTTTGGAAATGACCTTTTTATTTTGATTATGTTGTCAAAACACACATGCAATAGCGAGGGGTGTTGATACCGTTTCCTATGCAGTGACGTTAGCCAATCATATTACTGAGAAGCCTTATAGGACCCGCCCCTTAAAACAGCTCGTTTTAGACAGAAGGTCAGAATGAGGGTTGAAAATAATCACTTTTCCACGTTTTTTTTAGCAAAAAACTTTATTAACATTATAAGGAAACCTCAAGGAACTTATTAAGTTTATTCTGCAAGAAATGTCCCATGTTAGTTTACTTGTGGCTGATTATAGTGATGCAAGTACAGCTCCTGTCTATGTGAATGAGGAAAGATTGTCATATTGTCAAGATTATGATTTTAAGTAAGGAATAATTGACGAAGGGCCATTGAATCATTAGAAAATAGGTGGCCGTTACACCTCAGGTGTGCATTCAACAGCCCTGTAGTATAAAGCAGTAAGGTTTGGTTAGATTTTTAAAAAGTGAGTCCGTCACATGACACTCAGAATCCAGACTGTCAGTGATTTGATGCAATCACAAACTTCTGTCTTGGGCTTGTTTCTGTTTCCGGATGGTCTGTGTGTATTTCTAGTCGTAGTGATTTTTGCGAGTGTTTGCATTCAGGAGAGGTCAGAGAACAGGGTGACGCCGTCTGAGATCATCTTCAACAGACTGAACTGACCATTGTATTCCAGCAGCTTTGCATTGTCGAGTCTGGCGGTGATGATGTCATCGTGATGATGTCACGCGCGGCGCTTCATTGTCTTTTGTCTGAGCTGATGCTCGTGCTGCTGGACTCGTGACTCGTGACCTTCAGCGTTTCACTAGATGTGGACATTTATGGACAAAATGACTGTTGTTGACACAACAAACGTGTATACGATGTCTTTTGTGTTGCTGATGGTGTTGATTGCAAATGTGTTAAAAACTCGGTACAGAAGCGCTCTGTCAGGTGTTTCTTTAGACAGCTGCCTTGTTATTATGCATTTGTTATTCATGCATTTGCCAGATGTTTTTATCCAAACTGACTTGCATTGCATTTAAAGACACAATATGTAATTTTCGCCGCTAGAGGGCGCGTATTTACCTTTCGTCAGTTCACGCATTCATTAGGAATCGAACCCATGACACTGCTGTTGCAAGTGGTGTGATGTACTAATTATTTATTATTATTGAATATTTATAATGTGTAATGTTTTTAATAGTTGTAGTTGAATAATTGTGTGTAGTTACCATTGTGGATAAAAACAAATACAACAAATATTGGTTATATCAGTGGTTCTCTCTGAGTGTGTCAGAGACACAAAAACATGTGCAGAGCAGTGGGTCCCGAGGACTGGAGTGGAGAACCGCTGGGTTATATCATTATTACACATAATTACCAGACAATTAAATGCACAAATCATTTGAATGGGTTGTTAAAATCTTCCACCTCAGTCAGTATCTAATGTTTGGTGTCATTATCAGCTGTAAACACTGAAATGATTTATAAATATTCTGCAGCAGATCAACAAGTAAACACACGTGTGACTGTGACCTTTACACGGATTCAGAAGTGTGTGTGTGTGTGTGTTTGTGTGTGTGTGAGAGTGTGTGAGAGTGTGTGTTTGTGTGTGTGTGTGAGAGAGTGTGTGAGAGTCTGTGTGTGTGTGTGTGTGAGAGTGTGTGTGTGTGTTTGTCAGTGCGCTCGTGTTCTGGGTCAGTCTGGCATGTAGAGATCTTCAGACAGCTGATGTCTCGTGTCATGGACTGACCACTTCAGATGCTGCCCTCGATCACTTTAGAACTCGTTAACCACCTAACGAATCTCCATGACTGATTAGTGTGCAGCGACTCACTTCTGTCCTGATGAAGGTTTGGCTCATGTGTCACGTTTGGAGAAGCTCCTGATGTAGATTGTGTGTTTCTTCATTGAAAACATGATCATTTGGTTACTATAAATCATGACAGTGTGGTGAAACACGAGTGTGAGTGTGTGTGTGTGTGTGTGTGTGTGTGCAGGTGTAGTTGAAGGCGATCTGTCTGCGGTGGAGGCCTACAAGTCCTCAGGAGGAGACATCGAGCGTCAGCTGACACACACACACACAATACTTACACATTTGATGGTATTGGTGTTTATTTGACAGTAGTTTTTCCTCAAATTAAATTGTTTAAAGCTGCTGACTCTCAGAGCAGCTCTGGAGATGAAGCTGATGTGCTGATATAGTGAGACGCAAACGAGCGTCACGCGTGCTTTAGTGTGTGTAATAGAGCAAACTGACACACAACATGCAGATTCACATTTACACAGCAGTCACAGACACTAGTGCATAACCCTGTTTCAATCTGATTCATTCTACAACTTTTGGTTTATTCATTAAAATATTCCATAACATTCCATGTTAAACAGTAAATAACATTTTATGGATTACTGGATTCTGTAATTCCGTCCATATCATAATCACTACAGAATGCAGTATCATGTATGTGGTGATCACTGTATGAACACACGTGTGCATGTTTTGAGTTTGACGGTTAGTTTCTTGACTTGACAGATATTGAAGATCTGCCTCCTGCTGTTCAGGAGAAGCTTTTTGATGAAATCCTCGACCGCGACGTCCAGAAGGGTGAGATGTGAGCTGCTGGTTCATAAGCGCGCGTGTGTGTGTGTCCATGCGCTGACCGTGTGTGTGTGTCCATGCGCTGACCGTGTGTGTGTGTGTGTGTGTGTGCAGAGCTGGAGGAGGAGTCTGCGGTCATTAACTGGTCTCTGGAGCTGGGCACGCGTCTGGACAGCCGTCTGTACGCTCTGTGGAACCGCACCGCTGGAGACTGTCTGCTGGACTCCGTTCTACAGGCCACATGGGGCATCTATGATAAAGACTCTGTGCTGAGAAAAGCTCTCCATGACTGTTTACACGACTGCTCTCACTGGTGAGACACACACACACTCACTCACACACACACACACACACACAGATTCTCTTGCTGTATCGTATTTGGATCCATATTCGTGTGTGTGTGCAGGTTCTACTCACGCTGGAAGGAGTGGGAGTCGTGGTATTCTCAGAGTTTTGGGCTTCATTTCTCTCTGAGAGAAGAACAGTGGCAGGAGGACTGGGCCTTCATCCTCAGCCTTGCCAGTCAGGTACACACACACACACGAATACACACACACACACACACACACATTCACACAAACACACACACGCATTCAAACACACAAACTCAAACTCGCACACAGTCTCAGTGCAAAAACCTAAATTAGGCTTTATTTTCATTATGTTGTATTGATTTTATTTCTTTATGCAGAATTTAAGTTCTTATTTTTTTCCATTATTTTAATGCTAAATTTAAGTTCATATTTTTTCATTTATTTTTTATTTTTTATACAGAATTTGTTTTAATTTTTTTATTTATGCAGTATTTAAGTTCTTATATTTACATTTATTTATTCAGAATTATTTTTTTTAATGCAGAATTTAAAGGGGTGGTTGACTGTTTTTTTTCTATGCTTGATTGTGTTTATGGGGTGCAGTCTAACATGTGTCAATGCTTCGTTTTTTTTAAAAACGCATTATTTTTCACATAATTTACCTTTATTCTACACCCCTCTGTCCCTTCTCCGATGAACGCGCTGCTGGTTTCCTGGCTTTATGAAGCCCCTCCCTCAGAAATAGGCGATGGGCTCTGATTGGTCAGCTGGCCCAGTGTGTTGTGATTGGCTAAACCGCCTCTAGTGCGCGTCTAAACGTCCCGCCCCTCTCCTCAGCGGCATGTGCTCCGGTGTTGTATTGTAAACAATGGTGTCGTCAATATTGCTCATCAATTTGAGACCCAGAGAATATTAGTGAAGAGGATCACGCAGAATCTGTGCAAGCATGGCTCTTACAGTACGCTTCAGAATGGTATGTTTTTTAGTTTGTTGTCTCATACTTTTAGATACGCTGTTACTAGTGAATCCATTAGAATCGTTAGAAGACAGAATCATGATTCATATATGAATAGATTTTTCCATGCACCCCTAGTTTTGACGGCATGGCAACAGCTCTTCCTCTTCTCTAAAGCAGTGCAACATGGCCCCGCCCCCTTTGTTTCATGTTCCTGGGGGCGGGGTTTATGTAAATTTCTGGGTTTGTGATGTCAGTAGCTCGTTGTAGTCCCAACCAGCCGTATTTGTAGGCATTAAACTGCCATAATTTTAAAAGACAATATCTCCATTTGCATTGAACTGTCAGCATCGTAACTTTGCAGATATTGTTTATGCTCAACATTACACACTAACTAAAGTTTAAAAAGTGAAATCACAATCAACCACCCCTTTAAGTTCTTGTTTTTTAATTTCTATTTTATCTTTCTACAGAGAATTTAAGTTTTTTTTATTTTTTTCATTTCTCTATGCAGAATTTAAGCTTCTTTTGTGTAGAATTTGAGTCAATTTTTTTTTCTTTTAAGCAGTTCTTGTTTTCACTTTAATTTTGGGTGAAATCTGACCCGCTCATGTTCTTGTCTGGTTTTATGAGACTCTGTTTTGATGTGATTCAGAGAGGTTTCTCTCTGATCTCAAACTGGAAATAGCTTCAGAATTGTGTTTTGAATAGGAATCAAACACACGCTACACTGGCTGTTATTACAGTAATGAAGCAGTCGTTGAATCATGTAGTCGATGCTTTGAATGTTCATGGTCAATCTCCCTGTTTTCTGTCACTGTAGCCCGGGGCGAGTTTGGAGCAGACTCATATATTTGTTCTTGCTCATATCCTGCGGCGGCCCATCATCGTTTACGGAGTGAAGTATTACAAGAGTTTCCGAGGGGAAACCTTAGGCTACACACGATTTCAAGGTGAGACGATCTCAAGAGCTCTTGATTGTCACGTGGACAGCAGGAGTGCGGCTCACCTGTGTGTGTCTGTGTGTCTGTGTGTGTGTGTGTGTGTGTCTGTCTGTGTGTGTGTGTGTGTGTGTGTGTGTGTGTCGGTGTTTACCTGCCGTTGCTATGGGAACAGAGTTTCTGCTGGAAAAGTCCCATCGCTCTTGGTTACACGAGAGGTCACTTCTCTGCTCTGGTTGGCATGGAAACCGACGGCTACGATAATCGCGGCGCAGGCGCCAACCTCAACACTGACGATGACATCACCGTGACCTTCCTGCCGCTGGTGGACAGTGAGAGGAAGCTACTGCAGATCCACTTCCTGTCAGCACAAGAGGTAAACACACACACACACACTGATCAAACACTATTCACGTTTTCAAACATTTACATTCATGCATTTGGCAGATGCTTTTGTTGCATTTCAGCTAGAAGATTTAAAACTCTGATGAACAAGGTTGAGTAAAGGGTTGAACAGATGCAAAGTACTGCGTTCACTCAATATCTCTCTCTCTGTGAGCGTTTCGCCCGGGACACAAAGAAGCCATCAAGCGCATTATTCTGTGCAGCGCCTGGTTACTAAACTAAGTTATCTTTTGCGCTAATACGGTCAAAACACACAAGGTTTACATATAGACTCAGTTGGTTGTCTAAAATGAAAGTAAACAGTTGAGAGAGAAACAGATGCGTGTCTGTATATTAGATGCGTGCAGCTCTTAAAGGCACAGTACTAAACATGCAGCCGACTGTTATTAAAGGTATAGTTCACCCTAAAATGTAATTTCTGTCATTATTTACTCACTCTCGTGTTGTCCCAAACCTGTATTAATTTCTTTCTTGTGCTGAACACAAGAGATGATATTTTGGAGAATGTGGGTAAACAGTAGCTGGTCCACATTGAACTCGATAGCAGGAAAAAATACTATGTAAGCCAATGTGGACCAGCAACTGTTTTGTTTGGTTTAGCATTTATTTTCAGCAGAAGAAAGAAACTCATTCAGGTTTAAAACAACTTTTGAGTGAATAAATGATGGTATAAAAATAAAACACTATGACAGAATTGACAGACCGATGACAGTTTTATTGTGTGAAGTTTTATTGTGTGAAGTTTTATTGTGTGAAGTTTTATTGTGAGTGAGTGTGTGAGTGAGTGTGAGTGTGTGTGTGAGTGAGTGTGAGAGTGTAGTAGGTTTAGGGTTAGGGGACAGAAAAGATCATTTGGTCAGTATAAAAGTAATAGAAGTCTATGGAAAGTCCCCACAATTCACAGAAACAAACGTTTAAGTAGTGTGTGTGTGTGTGTTCAGATGGGCAGCGAGGAGCAGCAGGAGCGTCTGCTCAGGGATTGGCTGGACTGCTGTGTGACAGACGGCGGGATGCTGGCGGCGCTTCAGAAGAGCAGCAGACGCAGACATCACCCGCTCATCACGCAGATGCTGGAGAAGTGGCTGGATGGGTACCGGCAGATGCACCCGTGTCCCACGCTCTCCGACGGCGAGGATGAGGAGGACGACGAAGACGAGTGACCTCCTGAAACCATTTCAACACTGTTCCACACACGCCCTCTTTCCCAGAATGCAATGCGACCACCCCCAACAACAGCGAGGGCTGAAAATCTTTGTGTTTAGTCAAATGAATTTAGTTTTTTCCGTGCGTTCGTATCCATCGAATGTAGACGTGCTGCATGTGGCTCTTTACATATGGAATGATGAGAATAAAAGAGCGTCATAAATGAGCACTTCCACAAAGCACATATTCTTTAGAGGGTTTGAATCTGATCGCAGGAATCAGAGTTTATGATTTACTCACACTAAACCACATTTCTCACAGTGTTTGTGTTCCCTTCTGTTCTTTCTCTCGCTCTCTGGCCTGCAGCGACCCGTGTGCGGTTTGTTGATTTGATTGTATTTATTTATGTCTTTGCTCTCTCTCTCTCTCTCTCTCTCAGTGGATACTAACCCGACTCGTACTGTGAGGAGAGTCATGAAGAGTTTACTGACATGTTGAACCTGTGATCCTGTACCTCATTTGTGATGTTAGGTGATTCTGAACAAGAGGAGAGAGAATCACACGGCTTCAACATTAAACTAGAAACACGTCTGCTCTCTCATCTCCTGTCTGCCTCGTTTTTTCCTCTGCACCTGAAATAATTACAGTTTTGGAAATTGCATGAACTCAAATTACTCCACAGAAATAAACAATTAACATTTTACTTACGGATTGATGGGCCACTTCATGTTTTTAGGGCGAGACACTCTTCTTTTTCATGCACAAAAAAAACATGGTGAAAATGTGTTTGTGTTTGTATGTTGACAGTATTTTCTGATTTATGGAATGATGAAAAGAGAAATCCAAACTCCCTTCTGGAAAAACCTCTAACTCTAATAGTAAGAATCTGAACCTGGCTTTATCCATTGTTCAGATGTATGTTCTGGAAATGCATGCAAATTAATGCATATTTAATTAGAAAATGCCTTATGCATATTTAAACCTAACAGAATTGTAATGCAAAAAAAAAAGTTTCAGAATTGTAATACTAAAATGTTTGGAATTCCTAATCAATTACATGGTGAGTCTCAACTTCAAGTATTTTTGTCACAACATATAATTAATTAGGTTCATCAATGGTTAATCTCACAAAAACACCCCAAGTAGCATTGCAGTTTTTGTATGTTATTCTCAATTGTGGTTTTCATCAAAATGGACATAAAGGAAAATAACCTGCCGTCGATTTTAACTTTAAATGTCACTTTAGACTTGTGAAGTTTTGCGTTGTCATGTTTTTAAAACTTTTTTTCACGAAACCTTTATGAATTCGGACAGAGGGGCAAAAAAGAACACTCATTCACAAAACAGTATAATATTAAATCTAAAATACTGTCACCTGCTGCACATACACGTGTTATACATGTTTTATTATGATCAGTTCTGTTTAATAATGTCTTTCTTTTTCAGGTGTATGTGCGTCAGAAAGTACGTTTTTGTAGCTAAATATGAAACTGAGCCACAGAATCTTATAGAACGTGACTGGAATAATGATCACATTTTGCTGTTATTGTGAACTTAGTAGTTTGTCTTTTTCATCGTGTGTTAACATGCATTTGACCAGCAGATGTCCTCAGTGTGATTCGATCCTTCAGAACAGTGAATCATTTAGAGAAGCATCGGTTCAGTTGATTCAAAGTGACTCCCATCATCATGGAGAGGTCAAAGGTCACACGCAGGGTCAGTCTGTTGCCCTGTCCAAATACTCACACTTGTGCTCTTTACTACTTAAATGACGTATTTCTCGTATTTGTCCCAAGTGTTCAAGTGAGGATGAAGACCACAAGTGTGTGTCGAACTTTTCATCAGCTGATGGGACACACTTATATTGTTGTAAAAACGCAAGTGTTTACACAGCTTTATTTTTATTTTCAATACTATGCATTTTAAAATACACTTCTAAATGTCTGTTCTGTAGTTCTATAACAGACGACACAATAGCCAACAATACATTGTATGGGTCAAATTTATAGATTTTTCTTTTATGCCAAAAATCATTAGGATATTAAGTAAAGATCATGTTCCATGAAGATATTTTGTAAATCTCCTACCGTAAATATATCAATTCATCCTAAAAAAAACAAGCTTTTTCTCTTTTCTTTCATCTTTCTCTGTCTAGCTTGTACTTTGAACAATGCTTGAAATGCCTCTTTAAGATGAATCGCTTGATGTGTTCCCAAATTGTAAGTCGCTTTGGATAAAAGTGTCTGCTAAATGAATAAATGTAAATGTAAAGCTTAATGTTTGATTAGTAATATGCATTGCTAAGAACTTCATTTGAACAACTTTAAAGATGATTTTCTCAATATTTAGATTTTTTTGCACCCTCAGATTCCAGATTTTCAAATAGCTGTATCTCGGCCAAATATTGTCCTATCCTAACAAACCTTAAATGTAGAATACATGTTACATAAATATATGAAATGTAGAACATATAAAAAAAGTGCTTGTGGCTTGTCATAAAAGTGAAACTCCGCCTCTGGTTGGAGCTGAACTCTGCAGGACAGCGTTGTAGCAGGTATGTGTGTGTTTGGTCCCGTGTGCAGGTGTCCACGTCCTCGCCGTCTCTGAGGGAAAGGAGGTGTTGTTCAGCTCGTCTTCAGACGCCAGCGTGCGCTGGGATCCTCTGGGACCTCGACCCGACGCTGTGCACTTTGTGCTGGAGGAGAGCAGCGGCTACATGGAGCCCACGCTGAGGATCTTAGCCATCCTGCACACCGTCATCTCCTTCTTCTGCATCATCGGCTACTACTGCTTGAAGGTACAGGATCATCAGCTTCAGGAGCCTGATTTTACACCAGCACAGCTCTGGAAATGTTTACTGCGTTGAAACCAAAACATCATTAACTCTTTCCCCGCCAGCGTTTTTGAAAAAAGTTGCCAGCCACCTCCAGCGTTTTTGCTGATTTTCACTAAAATTGCATCATGGCCTCCAGAATAGTTTGTTGTATGAATATCTGAACATGCAATACATCAAAATAAAGATCAGACCCTCTACTTCAGACAAAAAAACCACTTTATTCTAGCTTCAAGCATTTTTTTTTATCAACACTTGAATGTAGGTAGGTTTCATAAAAAAAGCAACATTTTGAGCCAAAATCGCAATTTTATCAAATACTACATCTGGATCATATTCAGTAATATTATCAAAGCAAAGCTGCAGTAGATGGCTTCCATCAGCGCTCCCAAAGCTTGCACAGCTCTTTAACACTTTTCACTCTAACATTAGGCAGTTTATATTTATATGCGTTAGTGTTGATGATCGTATTATTTTTCATATGCATATGCTTACATATGAGATCAGTCGTTTCTGCGTCTTCCTGGTCTGTGTTTTTGATCGACACTTTCTTTCTAGACTCATTCAGGAGATGTGATAGCGCCCCCTAGCGTATAACAGCGAGAACACAGAAACACGGAAAATTCTGTGTTTGGCGGGGAAAGAGTTAAATATTATCAATCGAATTTAAAAGGCATGATTTGATTCATTTATTAATTCTGTATTTGACAGGGAAGCGTTGTCTCATGAATAATGGAAAATTCCATGTTAGGCGGGGAAAGAGTTCAAATCAACCGCTGAAACTGATTATTTATTAGTGATGGTTTTATGCTCTCAGCAGTCAGTAATTCATCCAAAGCACATTGTGCTTGCAGAATACTGTAGAGTTTGACAGATCACATGACCTCAGCTGTGATATTATTCACACAAGGCACTAGATCTGGACTTTTGGTAGTACCTAGGATAGCAAAGTCCACTAAAGGAGGTAGAGCTTTTTCGCATTTGGCTCCCAAACTCTGACTGATAAGCCACTACTAAATATTGTAGAAACTTAATTTGCTGTAAAGTTGCTTTGCAATGATTTGTATCGTGAAAAGCGCTGTACAAATAAACTTGAATTGAATTGACTAGATCTGATTTCCTAATAATGAAAGCGAGGCATACAGTTTCATTTATGCTAATGAAATCCAGTTATTGAAACAATAAACCTGCCAGATTTACATGAAAGATGAAATGCCCAGCAGAGTCAATCTTAAGAGGTTTTAATAAACGCTCCAATTATTATTCTGAAAGGCCTGTAATAGAAAGCAGAGCTGTGGTGAGTGATAGTGCTGTTTCTCCTTACTCCTTTCTCTGTACATCACTGAACAGCCGTCTGAGGACGATATTAAAGGCCAGTGGGACCGACTGGTCAGCAACACACAGTGAGTGACCGACGAGGCTCATGGGTAATAGTCTGATTCTCACCTAAACTGCATAGATGCAAACTCACTTTATTGAGATCAAAATAGGTCACCAGTGAGATTTGCTTAGACCCAATGAGAAAGTGTTTTTTTTATCAACACTTGAATGTTGAGAGTTCATGGACACCCATTTTTGTTTTCATTATATTATTTAGGTTGTTATATTTGGAATTTCACACAATGCAAAACAACATTAAAACAACATTTAAATTGTTTAAATCATTAGTAATACATTAAATGTGCATTTTAATATTAAAGTTATGAGACAATTTCTGTTTACATATAATACCATTATTATTTTTAAAAAATATAATTCCATTAATTAAATCAGGATTTCCCAAATTAGGGTTCTTGAGATTGTAATAGAAATACTAATGCTGAATTTAATTAAATAAAAATAATAAATGTATACAACGTTCATTAAATGTACTGAGAATAAGAAAAATAGCGAAATAAAAATGTTTAAAATAAAATAAAAGGTTTAGCTGACTGAAACATTTTGAAATGAAATAGGATTCTTTACAAATTCCAGTTAAAACATTAATTTTGTAATCTTAATGTGCACATGCATATTTCTAGTGTTAAAGCTTCAGGATTGGATTTCATTATCATTTCATAAGTCGATCTTCACTGCTGTTGTTTCATGAGGATCTTGGTGATTTATGGAAGTGTGGTCTCAGGTCTTTCCCAAACAATTACTGGGATAAATTTGTGAAGCGGAAGGTGAGTTTGGAGACATCTACACACACGCATACAGACAGATGAACGGCTCTGATAAAGTCTATCTGAATCAACACTCTCTCTCTGTGTGTGTGTGTGTGTGTTTGTGTGTTTGGGTGTGTGTTTGGGTGTGTGTTTGAGTGAGTGTGTTTGTGTGAGTGAGTGAGTGTGTGTGTGTGTGTGTGTATGTGTGTGTGTTGATGGATAAGTATGGAGAGTTTTATGGACATGATCGGATCAGTGAGCTGCTCGGGATGGATAAAGCTGCGCTGGACTTCAGTGACGCCCATGAGAAAAAGAAACCAAAGAGAGATGGTTCACTGGCCGCAGTGTGTGTGTGTGTGAGAGTGTATGTGTGTGTGTGTGTGTGTGTGTGAGTGTGTGTGTG